GTTCCAAATACATAAATAAGCGAATGAAAGACAAAAAAGAATAAGTAACAGCAGAATCATTTGCTCCAAGGACCAGATGGACGTGGCTGATGAACGGGGCTGTTTCAGCCCAGTTGAAGTGGCGGCAGATATTTGGGGCAGACCGGAACACGGCAGGTGGGCCACAACGCTGTACCCAACAACAGCTGCCTGAAGTAACCTGAGGGCGGAGCTAAGGGACCTGAACAAGGCTCTTTCCAAACACAGCTTTTGATTTGCATCTGGAATAACTGATTGTAGTATTTCTTCAGGTTGTCTGATCCTTGTGTGTGTTTTTTTTTCTTCTCCTCTAAAACCACAAATATAGTTGAAACATATAACAGCATATAATTTCCTAGGGGGTCTCCTATCCCTTATCCTATGTGGTCTTCACAAAACAAATTAGGACTGAGAGCATTACTCTGGACTTTTGGTACGAGTGACAGGAAAACAGCTTGGTTGGCTTGAGCTGAAAACACAGTAAGTTAGTGGCTCATGCAAATCAGCAAGCCAGGTGTATATGATTTCAGGTGTGGCTTCATCCAGGTGCACAATGATGTCATCAGGACTGCTTTCCTGTATCTCAGCAATGCCTAATTTTTTGCATCAGCTTCATTTTAGGACTTTATTCTAGGCCCCCAAGTGTTGGTTGTGGCAGCTCTATGCTCACACCATCCTTCTTGCCAGAAGACCCTGAAGAGAAAAAGTATCACGTGTGTGACCCTTCCATCCAAATCTACAGGTTCACTTTGCCTAGATTAATTTAGATTGCATGTCCTTCTATGGAACAATCCCTACGATCTTGAGTCTAGGACAACAGCTGATGGGCTAGGCTGATATTGACCAGGACAATCTGGTGTTCTGATTGGTCAGTCCTGGGTAGCATGTTTTACTCTGGAGGTGGAGACAGAGTCTCACCTGACACATTGGGACTGAGTGTGAGACATGGCCAGATCCTGGGGGAGATTTCTAATAAGGTTCAAAAAAATATGAGACCATGGAGGTAGGACTGTACAGAACAACAAATATCCATGTGTAATTTCAGAGGTTTTATTAGTCACATTAAATAAGGTAAAAACAAACAGGTGCAGCTCATTATAATAATATATTTTATTTAACCCAGCATGCCTACAATATTATCATTTCACCATGTAATCAATATAAAAACTATTAACCAGATATTTACTTTTTTTTTTCATATGAAGTCTTTGAGATCCAGTATGTATTTTGTGTACTGATAGCACCTCTCTTATGCAATGCTAAAATTTTATCAGATCTACTTGATCTTTATTTTGGATTTCATAACATTTATAGTTAAAAACATAGATTCATCTACCTAAGTTGTTTCAAACGTAAAGTTTTGCCAATAACCAAATTGAATAAGTATTAGTATTTAATCATAAAATTAAATGAAATACAAAATTCAATTCCTTAGTGACACTGGTTACATTTCAAGTGCTCAACAGCCACATATCAAACAGCACAAGGCTAGAAAGTAGGAAGTACTTAGAAATATCTAGAAGCAGCTTGTGTCCTAGAAATATCCTGTCTAGAAGAATCCTCATGCACTGGTGATGGGAGTGTAAACTTGCAATCGCACTGCACAGAGCAAATTCATCTTTTCGCTTTTTGTCTGAGTTATAAAAGACAGTTGGCCATTGGATGGAAGGGAGGGCATTGGAAGAGAGGTTGAAGAAATATTGTGGTACAGCCACAATAGAAAGCAGTAGAGAGGTTCCTCAAAAAAATTAAAAGTATAATTACCATATGACTGGCAATTCCACAATTTGGGTAATTATTTGAAGAAGATGAAAATACTAACTCAAAAGATATGTGCACCCCCATGTTCACTGCAGCATTATTTACAATAACCAAGATATGGCAACAACCTAAGTGTCCATTGGTGGACAGATGGATGAAGAAAGTGTAGCATATAGAGAGAGCAGAATATTATTCAGCCATAAAAAAGGGAATTAAGTCCTGCCATTTGTAACAATATGGATAGATCTTGAGGGCGTTATGCTAAATAAAGTCAGTCAGACAAAGACACATACTGTATGATTTCATTTATAAGTGAAATCTAAAAAACAACAAATGAACCAGAGCTCTTAGATATGTAGATAGGTGGTTGACTGAGGCACGGATGGACGTAGGGGGCAAAATGCACAAAGGGAGTCCAAAGGTTCAAGTTTCCATTTATAAAATGAACAAGTCATGGGGACATAATGTACAGCATGATGACTCTAGTTAATAGTACTGTATTGCTTATTTGAAAATAGCTAGGAGAGTAGATCTGGAGAGTTCTTATCACAAGAACAAAATTGTGTAACTGTGTGATGATGGATGTTAACTGGACTTATTGTGGTGATTGTTTTGCAGTATATACAAATATCAAATCATTACACTGTATGCCTGAAACTAATATAATATTATGGCACTTATACCTCACTTTAAAAATCTTTAGAGTATAGAAGTATCTAGTAGGATCTCGAAGAATGTGGAAGGTAGGAAGGTAGCTGTTTCTGGCATTTATTGGCTCTGTGGTATGAAGCCTCCTTGCCAGCCTCTATTTTCTTCTTTATTAAATGGGAATAATGAGATTCACTCTACAACTTCTTTGTGAGAAAGTTGACACTCCCAGAATGTAGTAGATGCTTAAAAATAGCTCAGATAAAAAAGCAAGAAGATGAATTTGCTCTGTGCAGTGAGGTTGCAAAGTACAGGATACATGTAGGTAATCACTGGGTCTTTCAGCTTCTCGTTTGGATACAGAGCAACAAAAGCATTTCAACAAATCATCTAACTTACATCCAGGTTGATGGGGGAAGGCTTCCCAAATTATTATTCTCCTGAGCGATGGGGGCAGGGGCCAATTTTTTTTTTACACCTACTATGCACCAAGCACTGTGTTAGTAACTTTACATTCCTATCTGTCTCAGTTCTTCTCATCTTGTGAGCTTATTTTTCCAGTGGCACAGAGAAAATATATGGCAAAAAGACACGTGTATGATTGCCTAGCCGATCAGTGGCAGAACTGGACTCACAGAGTTCCTGTCTGTAGTAAAATCAGCTGCCAATCTTAAAACCTAAAAATCCAAGTTGATTCTTCATATATAAATTGACTTCTTTTCTTCTTATTAGTGGTGGCCAGTAACTAACACGTGTTTTAGTTATTAACTGACTCAAAACCACTAGGTTTTAAGTTCCAGGGAGAGAAGAATGTGGGGCCTTGTTGCATTCTTCCGGCCAGCTCCCCCTCTGTGGCTGGGAGGACCTTTCTGCCCCAAGGAGTCCTTTTGCTAGAGTAGCTTGGCCATTAATTGTGCCCTTTACTTTGGTGGCTTTCTTCCTCCAAACTGTAGAGTAAGATCTTTTTTTACCCAGAGAGGCCACACTGCAGATAGAATAAAAAAAGACATCATGGACTTATGTGCAAAGATGTAGCCACAAGATTGTTCATCAGAACATCATCTACAATGGTAAATTAAAAAGATAGATGGGAATGTCCACTGAGAGAAGATCATATAAATAAAGCATTTCTACGATGGGATATTATAATATCATTAAACTGATATTGTAAAAGAATAGTTAGGATGATGACAAATATCTGTCATCTTTGGGTAAATGCCGGAAAAGCAGGTAACAAAAATAGTGTGGCGTTACAATTCTATTAGAAGTAAAATTGCTCTGTATCAACAAAGAAAGAGCATAAGGGTGTGCATTAAAGTGTTAGGAATTGTTATGTCATGGTAATGGCATATTATGACTGATTTTTATTTTCCCCTTTATGTGTTGATCTTTGTATGTTCTCATTTTCTATAATGAAAATATACATATGTAGGACTTGGGTAGGAACACATTGTATTTTATTTTTAGAGGTATCACTCAATGAATTGACTATCATATGCATATTCCAATTTTTAAGAGGTACGTGGGTCGGTATATGATCAGTAACAGCCATGTTACTGGAGTCTCTGTTATGTGACAGCCGCTGTCACATGCCCACTTCCGCACCTGTAGTCCTGCACTCATAGGAGTGGGTGGGCCAAAGCCAACTTCGTTAGCCAACACAGCACCTAAGGCTCAGGACGTGTTCAGGGTCCCACAGAAATGTTTTCATTTCTTTTAAAATCAGAAGGAACAAATTACTATAATCCATCCTGGATTCTATTCATCTTTATACCAACAGAGTTGCAAAATGTGGCTCACATAGGTGAAAGTGTGTGTAGGGCCTACAGAAATCGTAATGGGACCATGGGTGGGCTGGTTCCCATTTTACAGAGCCAGGAACTCAGACGTAGGTTACAAAAGTGGCTTAAACTGACATGTGGTAGAATTCAAATTCTAACTAGGATCTATTGACTTTCCACCATGCTGCCTTGTTTCAGCTTGCTAGCATTAACTCTGAAAGCATTATTTTCTAAAGTCTCAGTAGAACTTAATTAATATCTCATTGTCCTTAAGAGAAACAGGACATTTACAGAATCCTGCCCTTTTCTATGATAAGTGACTTTGCAAACAAGTAATTCTACATGTGCCCCGCCTTGATGAACATGCAGTGTGTAGAAATTATAAATACTTAACAGCATGTGTTGATGTCTTATCTACACTTCTTCACCAAGTCTTAACTGGCAAAAGTCTATGAAATAAGAAGTCTTCATTTATGAATGTGTTGTGGCTGGCTAATGAATTTTAATCATGTTAGCAACTACATGATAGATCAAATTTGTTTTCTTTCCATGTTAATACCAGACTCAAGAACTTGAGACATGACTGTTGTAAAACACCTATCTAAAAATTTAATTTCTGATTGAACAGGCAACACAAAATAAAGAGATGGAGGTCAAGAAAACTGGACTGGGAAATAAGGACTCAACACAGCTAAGTTGCCAGTTGCTAGGGGTTGCTGTATTTTGATTCCTGGGTCATGCCAGAGTCCAGAAGTCAGCATATTCTTTTCTGTGAAGGACCAGAGAGTTAATATATTAGGTTTTGTGGAATTTATGATCTCTGTTGCAACTGTTCCATTTTGCCATTGTATTGGGAAAGCAACCGTAAATATTACATAAACAGATGAATGAGACTGAGGTCTGTCCAATAAAAATTTATTTACAACAACAGGTGGCATGGCTTAGTTGGCCAATCTCTGGTGGCAGTTCTTCTAACACTCGTGGTCCAGGTAATTCCATAAATTGAACACACAAGTCATTGTGTTTGATTTGCCCACGCCCCTCCCCATAGACTCCAAAGCCTTTATGTTGGGACCCTGCTTGTCTTTCAGAAACCACATCTCCCAGCCCTTGGACACTTCGACCTTCTTTCTGCTCCCCAGAGAGCCAGGCTCTTTCCTACTTAAGTGATTTTGTCTTTAGTGTCCACCCCTACCTGACAATAGGCTTGCCAGAGTTAGCAAATAAAACTACAGGATGCATAGTTAAATCTGAGTTTCAGGTACAGAATTAGTAAAGTTTTTGGAAGAAATATATCCTATGCAATATTTGGGACATACTTATACTGAAAGTGTTGTTTATGTGAAACTCAATTTTAACTGGATGCCTGTATTTTATTTGTCAGCCCTATTCTAGAACACCCTGACTCTTCTTTTTACTGGCTGCCCAATCCTTGTTTCCCAGTATGAGTGTCAGCACCTCACTGTGTCCTTTGCCGGCCACCCTGTTTAGCTGGTTCCTCCTTCCAGGCACAGAATATTAATATTACAGGCACAGAATATTCATATTACTCTGTCACTCTGTCTGATTTTCTCTGTATCTGAAATTATCTTATTTCTTTGTTTAGCTGAGTAATGTCCATCTGTCCATGAAAGCAGGGACCTGACCTCTTATGTTTCCCCTTATAACCCTAGTGCCTTGCAATAGTCCCTGGCACATAGCAGGTCTTCAATAAACATTTGCTGAATGAGTAAATGAACACATAAATGAAAGACTCTTAAATCACATTTGTCTAAAAGCTGGATATGCCGACACCGATGGAAATATGAATACAACTAACAGTGACTGAGTCCTGAGTGTGAACCAGGTGTGGCCCAGGTGCTTAATCTCTACTATGCTCCAAAAACCCAGGAAGAAAGTTGTGTCCTCAATTGAAAGAGGAGACTGAGGCTCCTTATGTCTACTTATCTGAATCAAGGTCTCAGCAACAGTAAGAGGTGGGATATATATCATGTCTGTCATTTTAACTCACAACTCAAGAGTTCTCAGGACCCCTACGAAGAGTCTTATGTCTACCAAAGGTGCGCATGCATTCTTTGAATTCCAAGTCACTGGAACACTAACAGAAACGGAAGAAAAAACCCAGCCCCTGTGGGAAGGAAAGGCCACTTCACTTTGGCAGCCTTGGCGAATAACTTCTTCTTCGTTTCAGCTAACTCTTAGCAGCCACAGAACATGCCACGCAAGATCCCAACATGCGTGGTCACGAAAAACAAAGGAAAGCACAACAGTGCACCAGGCCAGCCTCTGCTTTTTTGCGGAGGATTCTGCCCTCAACATGTGCAAACGGTGACCTGACTTTGCCACGCTCCCGTGAAGAGTTCATTTGCCGTATTTGTTCACTTTCTTTCCCTTTTCTCTGGTGCGGTCCAGCACATCCGACATTTTCCCTTCAGAGATTTGTGTCCTCTAGTCTAAGAAGCTAAAGCACCCAGTTTTCCGATCTTTATTTGCTTGGTGTTTGCAGGGTGTTCCAGCACGTTGCCCCTGCATCCAGGAACGCGGTGGGCTCACACTCCTGTGGCTGCTGTTGCCGCTGTTCCTCGGGTACCTCATGCCCACAAAATCCCATATAAAGCGACACACACTTTGCCTGCCATCCAAGAACACTGATAGGCGCCTATAAACTGTACAGCTCAGGAATCAATCTTACTGATTTTTTTTTTTCCAAGTGCCTCTGTCAGAATGAACACAATCTATTACCCCATCTCCCAAACCCAGAGGCAGACGTGGATTCCTGCCGTTCTGTAGGTGCCCAGCACGGGCACTTTAGCATTTGTTTCTTCCTTGAAGAGGAGACAGGAGAATTGTCCAATGCGGGGTTGGGGGGAAACACATGTCACATTCTAAAAAATTCTGTGGGTGCATGGGTTGCTTCCGGGCTCTCCCTGAAAAGCATGAGTGGAAAACATTTTGTGGGAGGTTTTAAATGCTTTGGATTGCGAATGAGGAAAGAAAGCAAAGTTGGTGAACCAGGACTGGTTAAGCCGTTCCTGGACAACGGTGACATACACAAGAGCAATGCCACCCCTCTGGCCACTCTGAAGGCGTCCTCCTTTCTGAGGACACAGTGGAAGTTGATTTCTTCTGGGTGCTGGGATGGGTTCGATCTAGGATTTTCTCTGAATTATGGCATGTGCCATGAACATCTCCCTGGCTCCAGAAATTCATTTGAATGGGGCTTTTCTTCTATTGTCTGCTTGTTTCTTCAAAGAGAACACATGAGATCTCACTCCTCCAGAACAGACATTAAGAAATGGGGAATATTGGACAAGAAAGATTTGCCCGGCTCAGGGCACCTGTCTGGAAGTCTGCACCGGTTTCATTATCCAGCAACTTCCTTTGCACGGGTCTGAGGGCACCGAGGCTGATGAGGACATCTCCGTGGCTGGTGCCACAGATCTCCAAATCCAGGATGCTTCTCCCCACAAAGTTCCACATCCTCTTGTGCGCTGTTTTAGCGAACTGTGCATGTTTGTGCTGATTCTAATGTAAGGGAAAGGTGAAACATTGTGACACCACGAGCTGAAGGCTTATACCGAGGAAGTGTTGAGCTCCATGGCTTCCTTCCTTTCGGCCTCCTCGAAATCTCCTTCTCTGGGAGGCGGCCGGTAGCCAGAACTGCTGTGTTTGACCAGCGCTAATATTCAACATCTGAGCATGGCCCGTCGTCCTCACGTCCCCAGCGCACCTCGGCCCCTGCAGGAATGCGGGTGCTCTGCAGGGGGACATTAATTCCAGGTTGGGTCCACATTTAGGCTGGTGCATTTCCTGGGCAAACACGGCTGACATTTATGAAATCTAATTTAATAAATGTCTATGATATAGCACTCATTAACATACCGCAAAATAGCTCCAGAGTAGCCCATTTTAATCAAATGCATTGCTCCTGCCCTTATCATGGGCCCGCCCGATTTTGTCTGGGGCCCTGCGCTGGGATCCCATAGCCCCACCCGACCATGCAGTGAGGAGTCTGTGACTCTCCATGTTTGCTCCTGAGATGAGAAGATGAAAAATTGCTGATCATATATCATCTCCATAAATCTCACCGACAGTAAGTCATAAAACCTTGTGTCCTTACATATGGTAGTCGCCTGGGGATCGTGTTGCCATATGTGAGCAGCAGCCTCTAGAAGGGGGAGAAAAAAAAAAGAAAAATCTGTCACCTCTAAGAAACTTCTAGAACTGTTTTCTGTGCTGACTGAGAGCAGGCCACTGGCTCTTGTCCACCTTCCCTGTTTTATTTTCCTGTCCCTCATACCCTCACCAAGGAGCTGCCTCTTTTTGTTCCAAACTGCCATCGGAAGAATTCCCAGCCCCCTAATTAGGAAATTTTATGGTTTGCTAAATTCCCTTCCTGCCTGTCACAACAGAATGAGCAAATAATCACCCCCAGCCGACATGGGGCACAGGTATTCAGGGCTTTTGTTTTCACTGAGACAGCTCCCAGCTGACAGTGAGGCCCCAGCCTGCACACTTCCCCCAGCTAATGAGAAATGCCTATTTATTTAAGAAACTCAACCGTTTTCATATCTATCAGCTAAATTAAAGGAGGCGCAAGAAGATGGTCTTGCCAGTTCAGCCAAGCAAGAACCTGCGTTCTGGGGATTCAATGACATAGACTCATCCTGCTTCGGGCTGGCAAAGAAAACTGGCAGTTGTTTTCTAAAGCTGGTTGCACACCTGAGATGTAGAAAAGTGGACAAGTGTTAGAGCATTTTTCTTTTTCTTTTTTAGCACAACTTGATTATCTGTTGCCTTTCACAGCGATCAGACAAAAGTACTGGAAAACTGTCTGTAGGCAGGCACAGGGGCTCCCCTGGAGGGTCTCTGTGGGGGAAGGCCTAAGCAAGGACCCCTGCAATTTATTACTTCTGAGAATTCCCATTTCCAGGCTAAGACGCAGATGCTTTCTCGTAGAAAGTGTGGTGTCCACTGGGTCCTTGTAGATCTCTTTTGCAGTGTCTTATCTGGGACCCAAAAGGGACACTCCTTTCCTGCGATATTTTATCCAAAAGTCGTAAACAAAATCAAGCTCCTGATATTTGGTCAACAAGAGAAAACACTTGGAAAGGCAGGCAGGAAGTGAGGGGCCACGTAGGGGGTATGGATGACCACGTGGCTTACAGAAAGGGAAGTTAGCTGGGCAGGTCTGGTGGGGCTGGGGGACACCCAGATTCCTGCTCCCTCCATCCTTCTCCTCTTTGTCATCTTCCGTGACAAAGTGGGCCAAGCAGGAAGCCCACTTTGAGGAGCATCTGTCCCCCCACCCAGGATGACATAACACTTCTAAAAAATATGTCTCGGACCTTTGCCCTCACTCTGGAAACTGGATAGAAGAGGAAGAAAAATTACCCCCTCCACCTCCAAAATAGGGTGGGGATGTGGCTGGCAGGAGCCCTTTTGTTGTTTGGCACCAAGTCTGGGACAGACTGACTTTGGGCTATTTTTATGCTAATTATTTTACCAAGCGATATTTGATTGTTTCTATAAAAGGTTTATGTCAGTGCAATTCACCACAGGCTTTTTAAAGACCTCAAGATGCAAGAAAGAAGCGCACCCAGAGGCCATTAAAGAATTAGGTTCTATTAATGCCCAAGTCTGCTGAAAGGGGCCCTTACCTCCTCCGCCTGCAAAGGGAATGCGAGTGATGACCCCACCCTGCCCCGTCCCCACCTCAATAACTTCTGCTAAGAGAGCAGAGAAAAACACCCTTTCCATCTGTCTGTCTGGCTCTTCACATGCCTGGGAAATTCTGGCATTTTGGAAACAATGCATTTGCTTGGATTCCAATTTTCTAACTTGAAAATACAGCTCGTGTGCTGATAGGCAAATAAGAATGACTATGATAGCTGTCAGAGGCATCTTTATACTGCTTCGCTAGTAGAAAGCCACACCGCTGTTTTCAATCCTCCAAAAATCACAACATCAAATGCTGCCTTATCTCTTCTTCATCCATCAAGAAATCATCACAAAACAATAAAGTGGCTTCCCAGCTTTCTACAGAGAGAAAGTAGTCAAAACATCCAGTTGTCCGATGCTTTCAGATCTCCAGTGCCTTCATATGTTATGCTGTTTCCTTGTCCCTAGTCAAGACCTGGTACTAGGGACACATTTGGAATTTGGAGCACTGGGTGTCTATGAACAATGTCTGAGTCACTGCTTTTTGGCTTCTATTTCTTCATTGGTAAGATTGGAGAAGGGAGGGGCACTCCTGCCTGGATGTTTAAACCTTTCAGCTTAAAAAAATACATGATGCTATGAAAGTTACAATATATTCCTGATTTCTTTTATTCTGCAATTTCACCATAAACCACTTCCATTTTTAATTCTTCTGAATGTCTTCTATCACCCTGAGGAGAAACAGAAGCAGCCCTATGGTGAAAAGTTTATAGAAATAAAGTATGTTTATGAGACTCATCATCTCTGTAGCCCCGAGACGCTGATCGGGAGCTCAGCACAGAGTCACTGTCCAATAACTCACGGGGAAATGAATGAATGTGGATGACTTGACCTGGGTCTCCTGGGTCCCTGACACCCCTCCAGAATGTAGCAGAATGAGAGACAGCTCTGAGAGCCTCCACCCTGGGCTCCAAGGCATGCAGCTCAGCCATCTCCCCGTGGTGTCCCTGTCTATAATTATTAGTCATGAGTGATTGCCCCTGCTCCCATCCTGTGCAGCATGCGGCAGCTCAGGGGCACCCAACAGCAGCTGCCACCAGCCAGGAGCTGGGTACATCCCCTGTCCAAGCTGCAAAGAAGGGGGCAGGTGTCACGCTTGGTGAACCCAGACACATGGCACTTTGCAGAGAGGCAGCAGGGAAGGCCTCACCCATGTGGGATGCTCCTTGGCAAGTTCAGATGTATATGGGAAGTGACATTCCCAGGGCCATAATATGATGCTCTAGAGGATTCAAAGGTATGGTCCCCGGAAGGAAAGGGGAAGCTAACTTGTTGAAGGGTCTGTAACTTTAGAGATTCACTGCTTTATAGATGAGGAAACCAAAGCTTAAGGATGTCAGATAACTAGCTCTAGGGCACAGGGCTAGCAAGGGGAGGGTCCAGAAATCAAATTCCGTTCTGACTCCACAGTCCAGCTCTTCCTATCCCTTGACAGGGAGAGCAGAGTTCTCAGAGGCCTAATGGCTTCAGGGCCTTAGGACTCAGCTGTGTTGTGGCTGCAGAAGGAAAAATGATCCAGGGTTTGAACAGTGATCATGTTGAGCTGGGCCAGCCTCGGCCACAGACCGACCTCCTAACTTAAGGAGACTTCTACCCCAGGGCACAGCTCCGTTCCTGGACAGCAGAGAAATTGCATAACTAGAATCCTGAACAGCTCAATCATTTCAATCATTTGCCTCCCTCTCTCTCCCTCTCTCTCCCTCTCTCCCTTCCTTTCTTCTTTCTTCAAGAATTTGTTGATGTTCCAGTTCGTGTCAGACACTGTGCTAAGTGCTAATGAAACAAAAGAACACATGACCGGTGACAGTTGTGCCCCTGCTGAGCTCAGTGTTGCCATGAGCTTATCTGTTGTTGGGATCCATGTTTGAGCTGCTCACCAAGACCTTTGGTTCTCCCCTCCCTCTAGGCACACGGTCCTGTGAAGTCAGCAGGGACATGTCACTTACCTTGTCCAGTGAAATGTAAAGGGACATGAGTCACTTATGGGTGGAAGCACTCAAGGACAGACACCGAGATCCCTCACTCTCTGTCCCTTGCCTCAGTAACTGAGGACACCCTGTAGGTATGGAGACACCATGAGATCCGAACAGTGTAGCAAGCCAAGGTAATACACAGACAGCTGTCCCCAGGACTCCCTGGTCCCATAGTGCATTTTGTGTACATGCTCATCTTTGTTGTTTTAAGTGGCTGAGATTTGGAGGTTGTTAGTGAAACGTAACTTAGTCTCTGCTGATTAATACAACCGCGTTTTGATGTTGGCTTTGAACCCCTGTCCTTTACGGCTTCTTTTTCAGCCATACTTTCTTTTGAAGACTTTGGCTTTTCCCTAGAATTTGAGCTCCTTGAGGGCAAGGTCCACATCTTATTTACCTCTGTATCTCTCATGTGTGGTTCAGGGTCAAGCAAATGTTTGCCAAATGAGAGAATGAGTGAAATGAACATCCAGCCACAGAGCTGGTAATGCCAGTGCTCACCTCTGGCATTGGCTTGAGAGATACAGAAAGGTGGGCTTGTCTGCTCAGACAGAGGGGATTGATTCCTCTGGTTGGGGGTGGGGTCAGGGCTTGACCTAGATGTATCTGACCCCAGAGCCCACCCTCTTGCCATTCCAGCACACCCCTGACTTCCCCTGGACAGGGCCTTCCTTCACTGAGCTTTTCTCTCCAGTGGGAGGTGTTTCATCTCCAACAACCTCCCTTCTACTGGGGGAGTTGGAGTTGTTCCTTCAGAAAGATTGCTGACCATATTACTACTAAGAAGGAGAAGAGCTAGTATTGTTTGTGTTTGCTAGATCCCAGGCACCTGGTTCTAAGGTGGACATTACCTGCATGAGAAATACATACATTTATGGGTGTATGTTATCACATTTAATTCTCACGAGAACCCTCAGAAGTAGGATCCTCTCATTATCACTGGGTTAAACAGAGGAAAATATGGCTCAGAGAGGTTAAGTAACTGGATCAAAGTCACAGAGCTCATGCATAGCAGAACTGAGATTTGAACCCAAGGCTGCATACTGGTGGGTCTTGACAACTAATTAATGATGCATCATTTTATTGAAGTGAGGTGTGTGTGTGTGTGTGTGTGTGTGTGAGAGAGAGAGAGAGAGAGAGAGGGAGGGAGACAGAGAACAACTTTGTTGGGGGCTGGTGATGATAGAAGAGTATCTTTTCTCTACTTGCTGTTTATCCAAGTTTGTCACTTGTGTTTTTACAGGAAGCTGTAAGGACTTCCTGCCTTAACTCTCACAGATGCTGGCCCTGATAATTCCCATATTTACATACCTACAGGGCAAGCCGAGGTCTGTGAGCTGCTGACTCTTGTGGGATTTCAGGACAGGGGCTGATGGATCACCTCCTCTCCTGTTATCTCTTGTCCAGCCTCCAGTTCTCCCTGGGCTGACTGGGGGAGGGTAGTCTTCCTCTGGCCTTTAATGTGACCATTAAGTCCTGCGCAAGCCCTGGGCTAAGCACTTTCAAGCGTGTTACCTTATTTGATCCCACTAACTGCCTGGCCCTCTAGGACTGGTATCCCCAGTTTGCAGCTAAGGAAACCAAGGCTTAGCTTAGGGGAGTGGCCCTCACCTGGGGGCAGTGTGTTATAGCCAAGAGGGTGGAGACCAAGAGTGCTGTTCAGTACCCCACAGTGCACAGGACAGACCTCACAACAAAGGGTTAGCCAGCCCAGATGTCAGCAGTATCCAGGCCAAGAAACTTTGACTTAGGTACTTCACGGGACGTTCAAGCAATAGGGCTGGAGTTGACCCCACATGTGCCAGTGCCAGTCATGAATTCCTCATGCTGGAGAGAAGATGGGTACCAGGCATATAATGTCAGCAGGGCTTTTCTCCATGCAGGTCGCTACCTACTCACCCTGATGCCACCTTAACTCATTCCCCCAAAACCGTCAGCTGACCCCTTCTCTGGTGACGTGTCTATCTCACCTTTGTGGACTTGTATGTTTTTGCCAGCATCTCTGAAAGTTCATCTTTGACATGTTTTCAAGCTTGATTTCCAAATTACCCCCGACCAAAGATCTCTGAATATGAAGGCCCAGCTTGTTTGTCTGAGGCTCATCTGACTTGTTTCACTCATTCAGGAAACACCCCCTCTGTTCCATTGAAGGGTGCTTGGGAAACACAGAAGGGGGGTTTCTGAAGCTGCCTGGGTGATGGAGCAAGATGACCCAGAGGTGCTGGGGTCTGAGTGGAGACTTGGAAGAGAACCTGCATGTGGGTGAGGGCATAACAGGCAGAAAGGTTGGCACAAGGCAAAAGCCTGGGGAGTCAAATTCATGGTGGGTCTAGACATTTCCAAAAAGTAATTCAGTAGGTAAAGACAGCATTTGGGTTTGATCAGATGTCTGAGCACATGGATAAATCTTGTGATGACTGGCTTTCTGACTCCACTCAGCGCAGTTTGTAGACAGTCTCTTTCAATCAGGGTCAAAGGGTCCCCAGGTTGACTTAGATGGAAAGAGACTGGTCAGACTCCTGCAGACTTCTCACCAACCCCTGCCCCAGCAATGATTTCCAGGGCTTTCCCCAGTTCTTTTTTTGTCAGGAAGACTTTAGAGGCCTCTTTGAATAACACTGAGGTTAGTTATCAAGAATAAAGGGCCCAGGGTAAAGATCCTGGGAAGCAACTCAAGTGTGGATAACACAAGAATCGCAAATGGTTAGACTAATCTCCCGGTCCAGTCAATTGGGATGTGATACATCAAGTCAAATTAATTAACCAGTGGAGGTGATTTACTGAGCCCCTACTCTGCCCTTGAGACTTGGGAGACAAAGAATAGTAGTAAAGGTGAGGTCCTAGCCACCAGGACTTTGAGGTTTGTGGGAAACCCGCAAGGCAAACAAGGTCAAGAATGTAGTGGAAAGTCACCCATCAGTGACTATGGAGTGGAAACCACAATATAAAAGGGAAGGATTAGTGTTTAGAGGTAAGAGCAAAGTAGGCTGGAGAAGGCAGCATTTAGGCAGAGCCCTTAAGGACAGGGAAATGGGGAAAGTAGATAATGAGGGCATTTCATTTGACAGCAGGTAAAGATCCCTCAGATTGAAACCTAAGGAAAAATCAAGCAATTCCTAACTCAGTTCTGGTCCAAACTCCTTAGGCCCCTCTCAGTCTATTCCCATCCTCTCTGCAAAACATCATCTCTGGCCTCTCTGCTTCCACTCAGCCACTTCATACCTGTGCTCCAGGCATCCCCAGTCTATAGTCGCTGCATAGTTTCAAGTGTTTGTCCACATTCTTTACTGCCTTAGAATATTCTTCCCTTTCTCTGCAAGATTAACTACTCTATCCTTATATGAACTGCTTAAATGCTGCCTCCTTCCTGCCTCCTCCCTGCATACCCTGTGCTCTTTCTTCTTTACTCTCACCCCATGTCATAGCCCCTACACAGTACTGGCTGCCATGACTCACTCCTTCAACAGAATGCAAGCACCCTCTCGAGATCAGGAACATATTTAGCTTTGTACTTCTATCTGCATCTGTACCTTTCACAGGGGTTGGCTCATACTGAAGGTGCATTAGTTTCTTGTGGACTAGATGGGTGAATTGAACTAGAAACAGAATACTTCTTACAATGAGCTGACTTAGTCACAGAAGGTTGGGTGAATTTACAGTTGCGCTGTCTGATATGGTGGCCACATGCGGCTCTTTACCTGTAAATTAATTACAATGAAATAAAATTAAAAATACAGTTCCTCATTCATACTGGCCACATTTCAGGGGATCAGTCGCCACACATGGCTAGTGGCTATGCTATTGGACATCTCAGAGGCAAGAACATTTCCATCATTGCAGGATGTTCCATTGGACAATCGTGGTCTTGCCTTGATAGAGTAGAGAATTGTCTTTTATGCCCATTGTCCTGTCCCTATTTACACCCTCTTCTTTCTCCCAGATGTTTGCTGCAGCCAATCCTTAGGGTTTTGTACAATGGCTATTTGTACAATGCCAAGAGCTGCACAGGAATTTGGTAAGGTGGGCTTTCCATAAGTTTATTACTGTTTTATGCAAATCGAATCACTCCTCCTGGGGAGGCTTCGGGCCTGCAGAGAGAGCCCAGCAGTGTGGCGTTAAGACACCAGTACCTGTCGGGGAAACCGTGGAGCAGAACTACAGAGAGAGCTGCCCTCGGCTCCAGCGGGTGAGACAAGGATCAGAGACGCCCGGCAGACTCAGAAACCTCAGCCCCACTCTTCCCTGAAATGCTCTGTGTGGGCAGAATGAGGACAGAACTATTTGAGGGTCTGCTCGTACATATTTCTTGGGAAAAAGAACCCCGCTTCTTCCCTTTCATACAATCATTTGGTTTGCCAATCGAGTTAAGGCCACTATTGAACCCCAAGATCAGTGGATTGCAAATATTAATTTTTTCTATTTGAAGTGGGCCCCTAGAACACAAGCCCAATTTCTAAAGCACATGAAAAAGAGTTGCCGTCCAGGTTGAAAGCGGGGAGGGGAAGTAGGGAGAAGAGATGAAGGGGGAGAGGGAGGGAGCTAATAACATATCATTCTAAGTTTCTGTTTACAGATAAACCGAGATTTAAAAAATGATTTTAAGTGACTTATTAAAAATCAACAAGTTAATAAATAGAGGGTCCATGACACGAACTCAATTGTTCTGTCCCGAAGCCCAAGCTTTCAACCATTACTCCACCCACCCACCCATTTTAATTTTTCAAATAAAAAGCCTTTATATGTGCTCAATTGCTCGTTCTTTTAGGGCACCGGCTTTTTAACATATAAAACGGTGGGAAAAAGGTTTCTCTCCCCCTGAGAAGGAATTCCTCTCCTCGGATCCTGGATTGTCCCCATTGCCCTGAAGGAACCCAGCCCTCCTCGTCTGCCAACCGGCCCAGGGGTGCCCGGGACAAGTGCATCAGACAGCACCGGGATGTCTGGGGCATCACGACACCAAGCCCCGGAGCAGCCGGCCTTCGTGGGCCGGCTGAACCAGATCAGTGTTACACTCACGTGCGTCAGGACACAGGGCATGCTGCTGTGCTTGTTCCCTTCTTATAATGAAGCTGTTTGTCTGGAAATGAAAAAAAAATCTTTGACATGGGGGAAAAAATGAGTGATCCGAAAGGTTTCTGAGATTACCAGCGGGACCTCCTCGAGCTGGCTGAGCTGTTGTTAATGGGCGTGCTACGGCCATGATGCTAGGAATAATTAAACCGTGATTTCAGCTAAATCCCAACTGCAGGCACACGACTACGTGACTTCACCCCCGCCCCAGCACACACATGCACACACATGCACGCACTCGCAGAGGGAGAGAGAAACTTCCACGGGGCTTGTAACAGAACAAAGCCCAGTTTTACTATCACAAAATCTTTATGGATCACCATCCTTGAGGTGAAGTTATATCCTTTATGGTCACATTTTGGTCGTTTCCTTAAATTATTGAAGGCATTTCGTAGGGCCTGGGCTCTTGGAACAGAGCTAGAAAAGAGGCCCCTGTCCGCCGTCTGGAGGTGGGTTAATGATGGCACTCCGCGTGCAATGCGTCCAGGACACAGAGGTTAATAAAACCCGTAGCTCTTCTTCATGGGTACCAGGGGATGGTTAATGTTCAAGACTGTGCAGGACCTTGGCTTAATGTTCCATATGAAGGATAGCACTGCCAGACGACACCCTCCCTGGTGCCAACCTCGCATATGAGTACATGCTGGAAATGGGCTGAGCACATCGGGAAAAGTTAGGTGCTTCTCTCCCAGCTGGGTATGATGGGCTGGCAGCTCTGTGTCCCATCTGCTCTAGAAGTCAACCACCTCCAGGGCCCTGGGTGAAGAGCTGGGAGAGACAGTGCCTCTGGGCTCCGTGCCCCTCCTGGCCCTGGGGTGTCCAGATCTGCTGTCCCTGTTCTCTGTCCAATAAGACATGAACTGCCTTCTGCCCTCCTTAGTTATGTGTACATAGAGAGGGCTGGGGGACTGTAAAATAATACAGCAGTTTTGTGGTTACAAACACAGGCTTAGGGGTATGGGAAACTAGAGTCAAAATCTGTGTCAATCTTACTCCTGTATGCTTTGAGCAAGTTGCCTGACCTCTTCTTCAGTGTGGCTTCTGCCAGAAACAGCCTGAGACAAGGATTTGAAGGCAAGTAATTTATTTGGGAGGTGATCCCAGCAAGCAACAGGGAAAGGAAAGGTGCCGTGAAAGGAGCACCATCAGACAAGGTAGCTTGGTCGGCACTGGACGCAATCCCGCTGGGGACCTCTGGGAGGCAGTGCCAGGCGCTGAGGGGCTAGGACTCTGGGCCATTTCTGCAGTGACTTCTGTCAGTCATTGGCTGAGGGCCACTCCAGGGCCTCTGGCCTGCATGCCCACAGACAGAGGGGGGCCCCCACAACCAGAGAAATCCTCAGGCAGGCTGCTGATGCGGCTGGTGTTTGGAAGCTTGCATGGCGTGCATGGATATGGCAAGGCCTGGGAGGAAGTGAGAGGGTGGCATCTGCTCTCCGGGGTCCTAAGTTCCTCCTCTCCAAAGTGCGACCAGCACCTCCTACCTCCTGGCATTGTCATGAGGATTAAATGAGCAAATACAAGGGCCCAGTACATGTCAGTCATGATTACTGCTGACCCAAAGGATGGGTTCATTTATTGCAATTAAGCCTGCGAATTAGACCTGGGTGACTTACTTGTTTTTGAAGGCTTTCTTCAGGGCTTATGGTATTTTGGAAAATAAACTGCACTGTGTGTTTGGAATTGAAAGGAGTGGAAGGGATACGTAGTGTTGGTCAAAGAATGTGCTTCCCTCCCTGAGACAAGAGAGCAAGGGGAGGAGGGATTTCCACGTGCCACGTTTGTGTGGAGAACAAAAGAGATCTGGAGACTTGTCATCCTGGGCTGGGGGCAGGGGGAGCAAGTGAATCCGTCACCTAACAAGTGTCTGCAATGCGGTCTGTTTGTTGGCGCCCTGTGTTGCTGGTCAGAAGTCCTTCGTGTCTTAGATCATTAGAAATGTTGCTTTTGCAGTGCAGTGGGTCCGTAGGATTCCTTCACCAGAGGGTAAAGCAGAGGGTGTAGGTACCCAGAGCCTCTTGCTTGGACTATACGGGAAAGTGGGCAGACACACCAAAGGGTACTTATCTCAGAATGGCCCCTCTCTTCCCCGTCTTGTCCTTCTGCAGGGCTCCAGGATAAGTCCTTTACACTGCCCTGGGTTCTTAAGGGTGTGGACTTCCTTCTTTGACAGGAATGTGGGCACCACCGTTTGTTGTGGTTGGGAATGCTGAGGACCTTTGTGTCCAAAGAGTCATCCACTCCCATAAGGGACTTGAGAGCAGGCGTATGGGACTCAGCAGCTTATCTTCCGACACCCGGGGACACTGCACACGTGTTGTGTGCTATCTGATCACGTATGAGTCAACAACAGTCTCTACGATCCCTTGAACTGGAGGCGCTCTCCATAGTCCATGTCGAGTGAAAGAATGAGTGAAAGAGTGAGTGTAGAAATGCCCGAGGAGAAGAAGAGGGGGGGCACTTTAATAGGAAAAAGTAGGTTTAAGGATCTTCAGCTTCCTTGACTGCCACCCCTTGACTGTGCTAAAAACCAGGAAGGCAAGCTGACACTTCCACATAAATCTGAGATTTCTCTTTTTGGTTTCGCAAATTCCGTTCTTGCCTCGCTGTCATCCACTGGGGAGACGTCCCCAGTCTTACTCACAGTTAAGAATAAATAGTGCTCAGCTGCTAAAAAAAAAAAAGAAGAGATCGCAGCACTTCTCATTCCAATGTGCGTCATTATTGACTCCCCGGCCCGCACCCCATGCTGTTAGCAGTGATGCTCTGGGGCCACGGAGCACAAATCGGTCCCCCCTCAGGGCAGCCTTCTGCCAGGTCTTAAAGGGGAAAGCTCTTAAAAAAAATATATCCAGACACTAAAGGGCATTTTAAGAGCCCTTACATATCACGCATCTTCATCAGTGGGGGTCTAACAAATAATGGAAACGGATCTGGGTGGAAAGCGCTTCAAAACAATTTCAAGTGTTTCTGTAAGTATAGGGGGATGTGCAGTCTACACTCCACAGACCAGAGTGAGTTTGTGTTCATGATTCTGCTGCCCCCACTTTCTCAAGCACTTACCTTTTCCAGGTGAGAGGCATTATGAACGAACACTCACCTCTTATCATACCCAGAAATCCAAACCACAAAGAAAGGCATTTTGGGAAATTTGTCTGACTGCCGGGGTCCTGATCCTCTGATTTCTAAGGTGATGTTTTGCTTTGTGTGCACCCTCTCATTCTTCATGTTCTGCAGAAATATGTATCAAGTGCTAGTTCTGTTAGGACCTGTTCTCTGCAATGTCCCTGCCTCTGGGATTCCATGGCCCATACAGGAGGTCAGGTGAATGATCTCAACATGGTAAGACTCTTTCAAGATTTCAGAGGCCAGTGGACACCTAATCTAGCCTGCTGGGTCGGGCAAGGCTCCCCGAGGAGCTGGAATCTGGGTGAGCTTAGAGCAGCATTTGGGGGAGCGGGCAATGCTGGGGACCAGGTGTTGCCGGTAGCAGGCAGGTGCAGAGATTGGGAGGTGAGAGTCTGGCTCACAACCAGGAACCCCTGCTCCTGGGCCGTGCAGTGACCCTGGTGCTGAGCACCTCAAGTTGGATACCATGTGAAACTCAAGCCTTTCTTTCCTGTCAGCCCACTTATGTTGACATCCCAGGTGGGAGCTGAGGGTTCCTACCCGCACATCCACCTACCAAACACCAAGCTTCTACCCCACTCGAGGGCCTCTCAGTTATGGATGATTGGGAGCTGAATGAGACACGGTCCCTGCTTGTAGCAGAGAACACATGTTTCAGTAAAGCCCAAGTACTGAACTCACATATTAGAATGTGCTGGCTATTGAGCCCAACTCTGGGCAATGCCAGGAGCCTTTTCCTACAATTATTCACATTGTATAGAGGAGGACATTGGAGGGCAGGGGAAGTCACCTGCCGCATCAAAGACTAGGACTGTTAGAGCCAGTGTTTCCCCCGGTCTGCCCACGGCCTCTCCAGCCTGAACCAGGACCACCGTGAGGGGCAGAAACAGCAGAAGTCTCCAGGCCTCCAGACATGCCCGACTCAGGCCCATTCCTGGCCCTGGGACTCACCTGAGGATGTGGCTTAAGGTGCCTCAGAGCTCCTCCTAGGGACACCCAGGCCCGGACGGTTCTCCTGTGGGAGCCTCCAGGGAAAGTGGAGGCAGAGGTGCCGCCATCTTGCCTCACTACCAATAAGCCCCATCCCTCTCTGTTTAGTAACTGCCCTGCCAGGCAGCTGGGCCTCCAGGCCTTTATCTGACCCCACCCTGGAACCTCCACCCTTTCCCCCTGGACCCTGCCAACTGACCTTGGCCTGTCTCTGGCCTCAGCCTAGGCCCCAGGCCTGCTCTTGGAGCCAGGCCAGGCCCCACCCGGCACTTGGCCATTCCCCAGTCATGCTGGGCAGGCCGAGAGCTCCCGGGCCAGCCTTGGATAACAGCTTCTTTACACCAGTTCTTTCTGCCCTCTGGATACTCTGTCAAGCTAACACTCATCTTCTTATTTAACCATCACTGTTTCCCAAAAGGTCCTATAAAGGGAGGACCCCCACCTCCCCATTTTATAGACCAGTAACTGAAGCTTGAGAAAAAAAACAGTTTTGCACAAAATCTCAGAGAGTAAGTGACCGCGTCTGAATTCAGGCTGGAGTTTTTCTGAGTCTGCTGCCATGCTCCTAGCCACTTAGCATTGTAACTTCGGGCATGGCCTTCACCTCATCAATAAAATGGAGATAATGGTAATGCCTAGTCCAGGAGGCTGTTGTGGAGATTAAATGATCTCGCTGAGGGGGACATACAGCAATGCCTAGAACAGCGCCTGGCCCAGGGGATAGGCAAGCCTTTGTGAGTGTAATTATCAATGGCCTGGGATAAGCCTGCTCCCCCTTAGGGGCACCCACTTCAGCTTCCCGGCTGTTGCCCCAGCACCCTTGTCCCTGACTCTGTCTCCCCTTTCTCACCTTAGAGTCACTGATTGCTTTGTTTCTCTTCTCTTCTGATTGCTTGTGTTTCCACATTCTGCACACTAGAAGCCCCAGAGATTTCTGGGCTGATCTTTGTTATTATCATTTCTGTGAGGATACATGCCAGGATGCCAAAGTGATATCTTGGCCTCATTTTCCCCCCTAAAGTTTATCCATATATTTCCCCCAACTAATTCAATGTCTTCAACCAACTACCCTGGCTTATTTGCAAAAAGATTGGCATTTCAAAGCGAGGAGCTGTCCCTACCCCAGGTGCAATATGTGAAGGGCTTTGTCAGTAGAACCTGAATTTAAATGCCGGTTCTATCAAAGCAGAATCTAGTTGAAACTGAGTTAAATGCCATGGGTAGTTTGGGGAGCTGAAAAGGAAATAAATAAATGCACTTTGCTTGGATAAACACGCTGGGGAGGAAGGAGCAGTGGACTAGGAGCTGAGGACCAGCGCCACACTGCGTCCCAAGAGAGGCAGGCCCTCGGGAGATTGTGAGGGCGAGGTCCAAGGCCCCTTGGGCTGCCGACCTCTCAGCTTCCTGGTGAAATCTACAGCTTTCCTTGAAGGCAGGGCTGAGCCTTCTTATCAGCCTTCTCAGAGTCGGCGGCACCAGGGCCGGACGCCTGTGTGTGCGGAGGCCCCAAGCATTTATCAGGCCTCTCCCTGCAGCGGGCCGGTTAGCCACCCAGACTTTGGACGTGGTTGGGCTTGGACGTGACAGTGCCTCCTTCCCCAGGAGATACCCAAGCACATTTCCCAACATTGATTCTCAATAAAAAAGGGTTGAAAGTCAACTGCTGGGGTTTCACAAACGTGATGGCCAAGGGCAAGAAAGAGGCTGCTTGGACGCCAGGACTCCTGGCTCCTACTTCGGCTGTAGGATCCCCATCAGATCCCATGGCAGGGGTGCTAATGTTTGGCATATTCACTTTGCGGAGTGGTCAGGAAGAGTAAGATCTAAATCAAGCGACGCTTCAGCACAGGTCACCTGCTTTGTCCCGAGAGGAGACCCATTCCACCCAGCTAGCAAAAGCTGTAGTCAGAATTCACACCTCAGCAGCTGGTCTCAGACCCTCTCCTCCTGACCGTGAAGGGGTGCCCCCCAGCCCAGGGTCTCTCCACTGCGGCATCACACGCATTTGGGGACAGATCATTCTTCGTGGTGTGGGGCTGGCCTCTGCATCCTAGGATTCTTAGCAGCGTCTCTGGCTTCCACCCACTAGACATCTCTGGACATTGTCAACTGGACAAGTTGCTGCTCTATACCATTTAGATACTGTGATTATTATTCATGATCAGATGATACTTGAGGCTGTGGTTATGACAATGATGTTGCCAGTGTCAAATCTGCATTCAGGCAGGTACTGACCCAGGTGAGCTTCAACATGTAATTTATGGTCCAAATTAGGACCCCTTAGAAATGAAAGTGAACTATTAACAATTATATCAGAATATATAGACACCTTTGCAGGCAATCTGGGATGAATCTCTGTCTTGCTTTGGCAGCCCCTTCTACTTGACTTCCAGGTAAAATGGCCACATATGTGACTCTGCAGCCTCTTACTGTCTATTGATGCCTTCACCTAGGGGGCTTTTCCTAGCTCAGCGGCTCTGGAAATCTTAGCACTGGCTCCTCCCACCTTCCCCCATCCCACAGAGAGGCCCCTGACTGTGCCCCATCCACAGACTAGCTGCTGTTTTTTTTTTTTTTTTCCAATTGCTTAGAAAATGGGAAATGGCCCTAAAGAATTGGTACCAGTTTTCTCTGCTCTCTGGCTAAGCTGAATCCACACTGTTAGGCTTCTCGTTTTATTCACCTAAATGATGGAGACCTGGGTTGTACTTGGGAAGCACAGTTTGGGAAATACATTCCCAGTCAACCCTGCTGAACTGTCTTTAATCAGGGGAGGGTGAGCAGCTCCCCGCTTCCGCAGCATATGCTAATGACGGTGGCGACAGTGGTGGCGGTGGCACTGATGCGGAGGGTGATGACAATGAGGAGCGTAGTGATGATGTCAGTGATGATAGTAGGAGGATGTGATAGTGGTGACAATGATGATGGCGGTGGTGATAATTCCATGGTGACTGAGCACGTGCTCTCTTCTTGGTCTTATTGTGAGCACTTACATGGATTACTTTATTTGGTCCTTACTATACAGCCCCTGATGCTATCTTTATCCCCTGTTTGTGGATGTGGGATCTAAGTTTCCAGGAAGATTGATAACTCCAGTGAGGTCATGCAGTTGTACAAGGATAGAGTCAGGATTCGAGAGCAGGTGTGCAAATTCCAAGCACTACCTCTCAGTGTAGGATCATTTTGATCAAGTCAGCGCTCATCTGTTGAGCACCCGCTCCAGGCGTGGTACTAAGCGCTCAAGGATGGAGACACAGATGAGAGCCTCTCTCCCTGCCCATCGGGAGCCCACATCCAGTGTGGAGGCAGGTAACTCAGCAGGAAGCGTGTGTTCTTTCCAAGTGACATGCAGAATGTCCTGGGGGTACAGTGCCTTCTTGAGCCAAGCCTGGTTCAGGGAGGGGGTTCTCTGGCCTGACTCTCGGTGGGAAAGACGTCTGAATGGGGTCTTGAAGGTTGATTGCGAGGGGGTTGGGCAAGAAATGGGGAAGAGAATGCTAGGCAGGGTGGGCCAAGCTGGACAAGGCAGGTGGGAGTGTCTGGAGATGCAGTTCAGTGTGGGCAAAGGGGGCTCAAGTCCAAGGTGGGACCCAGAAGGCCTTGTACCACCACTGCATGCAGAACACTTACACATATACGCACACGTGGAAGTCAGCCACAAGCCATGGTGCTGACACCACTAGACCCTTCCTATGTCTGTGACGCCAAATCCCAGAGAGTGCAGAGAGTTCTCACTGTTTGGCGCCAGGAGCCCTGGGAGGGGACATTCCTTCCATCCTCCCATCCCTCCTCTGTTATAGGCAGAATAATGCCCCCTTCTCTCCCGAAGATGTCTACATCCTAATCCCTGGGGATCGTGGGGCTCTGAAAGGGGGATACGGTATGTTACAAACGTGTTATAGGGAAATTAAGTTTACAGGTGGAATTAAGGTTACTAATCACTTGACCCTGAGATGGGGAGACTATTCTCAGGTGGATTATCTGGGTGGGTCCAATTTAATCCCAAGGGTCCTTAGAAGAGGGAGGCATGAGGGTCACAGGCAGAGGAGATGTGACAAGAGCCAGAGGTTGGAACGAGGTGCTTTGCAAATGGAGGAGGGACCGCAAGCCGAGGAATGTGGGTGTCCTGCAGAGGCAGGAACAGGCAGGGGAGCAGGTCCTTCCCTGGGGGCTCCGGCGGGAACATATCCTGGCCAGTGCCTTGATTTTTGCCCCGTGAGGACCATGTCAGACTTCTGACCTCTAGAACTAAAAGTCAATGTGTGCTGTTTGAAGGCCCTAACTTCGTGGTAATGTGTTACAGCAGCCGCAGGAAGCTCATACATCCTCCCCTTCAGAGCCAGGCCTATTCACCACCACCACTGATACACTCTGGAGTCACCAGCAACCTGGATGGGTGTGCGCTGTGCGTGCCTCTGGCTATGCTAAACTCTTGGGCATTGAAGGAAGTCTCTCCTCCACCTGCCAGGCCCTCAGGGTGGCAGGTGAGATCACCCTGGAGGCAGCCTGGCCCTAAGGAATGGGCATATCTCTTATCAGTGGCCATAACCACACCCCAGGAGATCATTGATAATCCTGGGGCCCAGGAGGGAAGGGAAACAGCAGGTCGTAGGGCTCAGGAGTTTCACACATGGGTTCATCATCTCTGAAAAGGTTACATCCATTCTGCCATGATCACATCATCTTTCTTCCCCGCCTTTTTTTTTTTAAACAAAACTACAATATTATATTCAGGCAGTTCGTTTTTTATTATTCATACTGATTTCTAAAAAGGAACATTCTGGCTTTAATTAGAATGAAAAATATGAGCAGTAGAAATATTCAAAGTATCGCAGGGCTTCATTATTTACACCACTGATTTCGACAGGCAGATAAACACAGTCAGACATGTGCTCTGCACTGTTTAAAGAGCAAAGCAGCATTAAGCTGCTGCCCACTCTCCACACACTGATGGGACCCTGTGTTTCCCTTTCTGAGGGCAAGATAAAGGGTTGTGGGAAATACTCCGTGCATGTGGCCTTGCTGTTGTGGAAGAGAAGGATCACAAAACAATTGTGACCAAAATAAATTATTAGTTTGCTTAG